AAAAAAAAAAAAAAAAAAAAAAAAAAAAAAAAAAGAATTGCACTGGCAGGGTTTGTTTTCCTATTTTATTAGGATCCAAAACACTGTAACCCGAGTAGTGTTTTCTTTTCCTCTATTCTGGGAAGGGAAATAACAATAACAGCAACTATTACAGAGCACCTATGCCATATTCAGCCTTAATGCTGCTTCTCTCCAACCCTTCAATGATGACTCTGCCAGGTAGGTGTTATTATTTGTATTGAAGCTGAAAAACTGAGGTTCAGATGTATCCTGGTACATGGTAGAGCGAGGATCAAACCTCAACCTGGTGAACTCCAAGCCAGCACCCCCCACCACAGCAAGCTGCCATAGAAGCAAACCAAACATAATGAACTTGCTACAGTCATTGAGGCCTGCTGGGCTCCAGCAATTCCTCCTACCTCTACCAGGCCCAATAGACAAAAAACAAAGAGGCCCATTTTGAGGCTGATCTCCTAGAGTCAACAAAGACACAAGAAAACAAGTTAATTGTCCATAGCATCATCAGGAAGGAGACACAGGTGTAATCCAGCTAGATCATTCCCTGCTTGGTGTATTACCACCCTGAAGTCTAAAATCCTTGCTCAGGTCTCACCCTTCTTGGTGACCCCAACTTTTACCCCATGACACCTGAGTGAAACTCTGCAAGACTTCTTCTGTTGGAGGAATTAAAAATACTGTGACGACTGGCATAAGGAGGGGTACCACACTAAGGTTACTCACAGCAGGTCAACCCATGAGAAAGAAGAGGAGCTTGGGCAGGGTCCCATGTGTGGGAACTGAGCCCATACCCTGGCATGGCTGCTGTGAGACTATGAGCATGCCATACCCTCGCTGGGTCAGTCCCCCAAGCCAGACTCTGCCCTCTCCCTCATCTCCACATCTAATTAGGCACCTAATCAATCCTCAGATTGACCTCTGCAATAGGTCTTGAGTCCATCCCCTCCTCACATCTCACCCATATTACTGTATTAGTTTCCTAGCTGTGCGCCAGCCTCCAGGCTGCCCCCATTCTGTCCATCCTCCCAGAGGGATTGTTCTGAAACACACACCTGCTCACCTCACCTCCCTGCTCACCTGGCCCTGTAAAGTGTGTAATCTCAGGGTAAAGTGCAATCTCCTTGGCGTAGCTCCCACTCCCTCGTGTCTGTCTCCTGCCCTTCTCCCAGCTTCTTCCCTACCACTCAGCACACACCCCTTTGCCCGCACTTCCCTGAATGCATTGTGCTGTTTCGTGACCATGTACACTGCTGGCCCCTCTTCTTTAGAAAGTCCTTCCTCTCTGCTAACTCCTGCCATTCCTTCAGAACTCAATTTAAACACCACTTCTTCCAGGAAGCCCTCTATGATACCCTAGTCTGACTAAGATGTCCCCTCTTCTAGGCTTCCCAGTCCCCTGCTTCCCACAGCACTTAGAGCTGTTGATCTTTGCTTTCTGTGTCCTCCACCGAGTTCCCTGAAAAAGAGAAACTAAGACTAGACAGGGCCTCAGTTGATTTTATATCTGCAGCAATACCTAGGCACCTAGAACAGTGCTTGAAAGACCCCAGGGATTTCTGGACAGAAAAATGAATGGGTTTCCTCCCCAGTAAACAGGTCATGGGTCTGATCACAAGTTAGAGGGCCTTTGTGCTTTAGGGATGTGCAAAGTCTCATCAGTCTGTGCAACTGAGCTCAGTTACCAAGGAAACTGATCATTCTACTTTGACCACATTCTTGCTTTATGAAGTCCTATGTGGCCACAGTGAGCTTTATCAACCCTGAATACCAGTTACCACAAATGATCAGTGGCCCTGGAAGCAGTTTTATGGCCACAGTTTTGGGCAGGGTGCAGGACGGCAGCCAGTGATCCCTGGGCTCTAAGATTGACAGCCTCTGGTCAAGGGGTGCCGGAGGCTAAACCTTGCTGGGCCTGGAGAGCCAGCCAACCTCAGCAATACTCCAAACGCTTCCACGCAGGACTTAGCTCTTCATTACTGAAAAGATCAGTCTCGTGAAATGTGTTTGGTTTCAAATTTCCCATCACTGATCTACTTATTTAAAAATTACACCCTACCTGTTCCCTAAAAGAGGTAAGGTGCCTGTGGTCTCATTAAGAAGCTTCTTGTGGTCAGCCCCAACCTGCAGAAAACCTGATATGTGAAATGACACTGAGGAGGTGGGCACTTTTGTGGCATCACGTCTTTCCCAGGAGCTCAGGCATTTTCACAGCTTCTTGTGGTCAGCCCCAACCTGCAGAAAACCTGATATGTGAAATGACACTGAGGAGGTAGGCACTTTTGTGGCATCACGTCTTTCCCAGGAGCTCAGGCATTTTCATGGTAAGATGAGGGAGGGAGTCAAGTGGGCACTGGGCCCCTACTGCCAATTCCATCAGGAGGGACAGAGCTCCTCCTAAACTCTGGTCTTTCCCCTTACTCCCCTTACTGACCTTGAGATCAAAGTGAGCAATTTTCTTCGTGTGAAGGTAGTTCACCCCATCCAGGATCTGCTTAATGAAGCTGGTGGCCTCCTCCTCACTCAGCGACTCCTTCTGGGCCAGGAAGTCGAAGAGCTCTCCTCCAGGCACTCTGCAAGACACCAGCCGGGAGGGCCAGGCCCAGTCAGCCCTGCGTGTCATGAGGCCAGGCTGGTGGATGAGGCCCCTGAACCTACCCCTTAGGCTCCCAGCATGGCAGAATCCCCCTTGCCACATCTGGGGCTTTGTCCAATCAGCACCAGGGACTGACTTTCCTTCTATTTGCTGTGGTCTTTCTTTTGGATCACTAGGGCAGGAATTAACCTTAGGCTGTTGCTAGAAGAGCCTCTGCTCACATGCTAGGTCCAGGTCCCTGGTTACCTGGTTACCCTGGATGATACACCCCCCCCAAATGACTGAGGTAGCAGAGGACAGAAACAACTACTGTGGGATGATGCTATGGTCTGAGTGTTTGTTTTCCCCAAAATTTATACTCTGAAATCCTAACCCACAAGGTGATGGTGTCAGGAGGTAGGACCTTTGGGAAGTGATTAGGAACAGGATTAGCACTCTTATAAAACAGACCCCAGGGAGCTTGTTCACCCCTTCTGCCATGTGAGGTCACAGTGAGAAGACAGCCGTCTATGAGAAAGTGAGGCCTAACCAGACTCAAGTCTGCTGGTGCCTTTGAGACAGAATAGGGCTAGGTCTGTGAACCAAACTAACTCCATTTTCCCTGCAAAGGACACTTTGTTACTTTTCCACTCCTCAGTCATGGGACCCCCCAGGGCACATGATTACCCCATGGCCTGCCCTGATAAAATAAACTGAGATAATAGGGGAACAGATATTCATTGAGTTGCAAAACACCTTCCCTAAGGCTTGTTAAAATATAACTGTTAGGGGGCCGGCCCGGTGGCTCACTCGGGAGAGTGCGGTGCTGATAACACCAAGGCCCCGGGTTCGGATCTCATATAGGGATGGCCGGTTCGCTCACTGGCTGGGCGTGGTGCTGACAACACCAAGTCAAGGGTTAAGATCCCCTTACCGGTCATCTTTTAAAAAAAAAAAAAATATATATATAACTGTTAGCTTTGTTTAAAACTTATTATTATCTACCCATTCTTTCTTTTCCAGTAATTGTAAAGATTAAGTTACAGATTAATCGGGGCCGGCCTGGTGGCGCACTGCTACAGTGCACCGCTTGGGAGCGCGGCAGCACTCCCGCCGAGGGTTCGGATCCCACATACAGACCGGTTCCCGCTCACTGGCTGAGTGAGGTGCGGGAGCCACACCGAGGGTTGCGATCCCATTGCTGGTCCCGGTCCGGTACGGGGGCGACACTGAGGGTTGCGATCCGTTGCCGGACACGGAAAAAAAGACAAAAGGGGAAAAAAAAAAAAAGTTACAGATTAATCTTAAGACCCCTCCCTTATGAGTTCCCACATGTGCACAAAGCTTCAAGGTGACCACTACAATGGCCCTCCTGCAGTGACAATAATGAATACCACCACCATCTTGGACCTACTGAACAGACTCAAGGGCCAAAGCCCTAACTGAGCATGTGCCCATGATGCAACCAGGAAGAACAGAATGGACCACCTCCGGAGGTGCAGAATGGTGATGCTGGCCTGCACCCCTTGTCCCTGTGCCCTGTAAATGACCCTATACAGCTCCTATTGGAGGGGCTAGCTCCTCTGTAGCTACCCCCCTGTGTGCATAAGTCTATCTCCTCTTTTAATAAAATGTTGCTTGCTTTACTGCTGGGTGCATTGTTCATTTTTTGGGACCCAAGAGCCTAACTTGGTAACACCTTGGTCTTGGACTTCCCAGCCTCCGGAAATATGAGAAATAAATTTTTATTGCTTATAAGCCACCCAGTTTACAGTATTTTGTCATGTAGGAGCCTGAGTAGACTAAGACAGAATTGGTACTGAGAATGGCATGCTGCTGTAACAAATACTGTGGCGCTACGGCTAATGTTGGAATCCTGCTCACAGCGCCAGGCTGGGTCACCAGACCCCTTATACGCAGGTCTATGAGCTAGGTAACCAGCAAACAGGTCCTTGGAAGCTGCAGGTTGGAAAGGCTTGGCTGCTCATGTGGCGGCCGCCCGAGGCAGTAAACCCCAGCTAAGGTGGTGGCTCCTCCCAGGTGCACTAACTCCACCCACACACAACCTATCCACAAAGAATGCCACACCACCCCCAACTTGCCCCGAGGTGAGGGGGCCTGATTAAATTATTCTATTTTCCCAACAAATACCTAAAAATGTGAAAGCAGCTTTGGAACTGGGTAATGAATAGAGGCTGGAAGAGTTTTGAGGTGCATGCTAGAAAAAGCTGACACTGCCATAGGTAAACCATAAAGGGTGATTCTGGTGAGGGCTCAGAAGGAGAGGAGATTCTCAATCTTCTTGGAGATACCTAAGTGATCGTGAGCAGAATGTTGGTAGAAATACGGACAGTAAAGGCCATTCTGATGAGGTCTCAGATAGAAATGAGGAAAATGTTATTGACCAACGGAGGAAAGGCCATCCTGTTATAAAACAGCGGAGAACTTGGCTGACTTGTGTTTGTGTCCCAGTGTTTTGTGGGAAGCAGTAGAACTTGTGAACGATGAATTGAATATTTGGCTGAGGAAATTTCCGAGCAAGTGTTAAAAGAGTGACCTAGTTCCTCTTGACTACTTACAGTAAGATACAAAAGAAGAGGACTGATTTAAAGATGGAATTGTTAATCAAAAGGTAAAGAAAACATAAAAGTTTGAAAAATTCTCAGCTAGTCATATTGGGAAAAATGAGAAACCCCAACAAAGGTGTGGCCAAGGAGGGAGAGAACAAAGGTGTGTTTGATAAGGAGATTAGTATGGATCAGCCCTCTCAAGAGAAGCCAGGTGCTATTCATTAAGACAATGGGGAGATTAGTCAGCTATCTAAATAGAAGCCAGGAACTATTGTCCAAGACAATGGAACAATGACTCTGAAGTCATTTTGGAGATCATGGGGGGAAAGGGGATTTACCCCTCCCATCACAGGCCCATAGTGCCAGGGCCTGGGGGACAGAATGATATCAAAGCAGGGCCTCCACTGCCCAGTGCTGTCTCACATTGTGGTTTCTGCTCCCCAAACTGTTGCCACACTCCTCAATCACAATAGGTGTGGCTCCCAGATGGCCCTGGTATGGCACACTCTGTGCCAAGCAAAGCTGTGGGGGCATGGTTACCTCCACCTGGATTTCAAAGGATGCCCCAGAGAACTGCCTTGGGGGCCGGGACTGACACAAAGAGTACCCACTAGGACAATGCCCAGCAGAGCAATAGGGGGTGGGGCTGCCCCTAAGACCCCAGACCAGCACAGCCCCTGGCATGCAATTCCAACTGGTGAGAGCCACAGACAGGTAACTCCAACCTGTGAGAGCTGTGGTATGGGCTGTGCCCAGCAAAGCCATGGGGGCAGGCCCATCACCCTAGTGGGCCTGGAGGAGAGAGCATTGAGCAAAAGATTATTCTTGAACTTTAAGGTTGTGGACTGGCTTGAGATCTGTCACTCCTTTTTTCTTTCCTATTTCTCCTTTTTGGAATGGGAATGTCTATCTTATGGCTTATGTCCTATTGGACAGTGCCATTAGGAAGAATATCTCCTCTAGATCTAACTACTAGTTTGCAGAAGTACAGGGGATAGAGGAACAAGTTAAATAACACCATGAGGAAGAAATAAGTCAAATCCAGACTGAAATCATTGACAGGACAAATGACCTAGTCTTCCCAACAAATCAATGGCACCAAAAGACAAAGGGAAAAAAGAGAGAAGGGGGAAGGTAAAAGGGTAAAGAGAGTGAGATAAAATGGCACATCTAACCATACCTTCTGCTGGAGCTGCAGTGCCCCTCTGCTCAGAGTGAGCTGGGTGTAGCCCAAAGTGGCTGCCTTGGTGCAGAGGACAAGGCTGGTGCACTATTTTCTCAGCGTCTTGTGGGTGGAGGTCATCCTGTGCCCCACCTCCACCCCCACTCCCACCTGGACAGGTGCTGGAACCTGGAGCACCCTCAAAACTGCTGAAGGAGTAACCCTGAGTCTGCTCTGCAGGCTGGGGTCAAAGAGCCATAACACTGGCCCCAAACCTTCTGCAACAAGACTCAACCTTCACTCTGGGGTGAGGCATGTGAGAGTTCTAGGGCTCAGCTTTTCTTCTGTGAAACAAGAAAAAAAAACGGTCTTATCACCACCTTCAAGGGTGGGGTGGGATTGGGAATAATCTTGATGTAATGTTGGACAAGGGCTTTGAGATTCTGGATAAAGTCCTTGAAGTAAATACCATGCCCTGCTTCATTGTCAAGATGGCAGTGGTGGAAAAGGGCTTGGTGTAGAGTTTATTTAACATTTGCCACCCATGAGATGTGCTTTCTCAAAATTCAATCACTAGAGTTTCACATCTACCCTGAGGGATAGATGTAACCTTCATCCTCATTTGTCGCATGAGGTGTAAGGCCCCATAAAAGACCCCAAAGGAGGCACTCCCTAAAACATGGCGCTTTTCTCTTCCAGGTCCTAACAATCTCGCCGGCGCCAAGGTGCAGCCTATCAGAAATCATTACCCGCCCCCGGCCAATCAACTACCACCCCGTGTACTAACCACCCTCTCCTAGAACCCTGTAAGGCCCCATAGAAGACCCCAAAGGAGGCACTCCCTAAAACATGGCGCTTTTCTCTTCCGGGTCCTAACAATGTCACCGGCGCCAAGGTGCAGCCTATCAGAAATCATTACCCGCCCCCCGGCCAATCAACTACCACTCTGTGTACTAACCACCCTCTCCCGGAACCCGGCTCTATATAAATGTATGCTTCTCCCCCGAATAAAGCGGAACTTCTCCGGTGAACTGTCAGCTCGGGTCCTGTCGTCCTTTCATTGGTGCCGAAACCCGGGAGGAGCTCACCCCTTACCTGAGGGGACTCCTTCTCGGACCTCCTTCACTCTCTCGGAGGTTCCCGCTGCTGACGCTTTGCCCTTGTCCGTTTTCTCCGGCGCTGGCTCTCCGCACCCACCACCGGCTCACCTAAACGTAAGTCTCTCTCCGGGGCGCCATCTTAGGCTGGGCTACCGTAATTGTCTGGTATCCCTCTGACGCCCGTCCCTAAGACAGAGAATACACCCCACCACGGCC